CACCCTCTCACTCACACACACACACACACACACACACTCTGTCTTTCATCTGCCTGATGTTATGCCAACACACAGGCCAGCCAATCACAGAGCTCTCACAGTCTCATGCTGCACTGTGATTGGTGGAGTAAGTGAACTATCGTTTCAGAGCAGAGAGAGCACCTGCGCATGTGAGTGAGCCTCTGAAAACATGACCATCATCATCACATCACGCCTCGTCTTCATAACTGATGGAGGAGGAGGCAGAAACACACGTCTCTATTCCACCATCAGAAGCTGTTCGACCGCAGGAACACACAACAGTGATCATCAGCCGTCTACAAACAGGATCACTCGCTGCATGCAGCCCTTCACAAACAGCGAAAAGCGGATCAGATCAGATTACTGGAACTGTTAGAAATAAATAAAGAAATGCCGTTCTGATAAGTTCTAAAAGCACTGCTACTCTCGTGTAGAGGTGCAGTAATGCAGCGGGCGTTACACGTGCTGCTGATCAGGTGCATGTTTATCTTTGACTTGTGAAATCTGAGTCCCTCCATTTCTCCGTTCACTTCCTCCGAGCGGTGAGTGGGATCTCTGCAAATAAACTCCAGCAGACCTACATGCAGCAGGACACATCTGAGCCGCGCCTCTTATTCAGGCCAGCTGCTGCGAGCGGAAACATGCGCCGCTGCATTAGATGACTCACTCCGTCTCAAACGCCAGCGACGCTCTGCTGCACCGCTGAGACATAACGTAAACCTCGACATCGGCTCTGAACGAGACTGACAGTGAACCAGAGCCTGACTGAGAGAGAAAATGAACACACAGGAGAACTGAGGATTCAAACCCTGCACCGCAGACGGGTCTACAGACAGACAGACACGTTCATGAGAGTTGAGTGAGTCTGTCAGAGTTACGCCACAGACGCATTAAATCAGTTTCATCTAATTTACGGGGTTTAAAATTGAGACGAGATGTTTCTGTCGGAGAGTAAAATACAGCTGCAATTACAAACGTTATGCAGGAGAGATTATTTACGCTTTTCTATAGAGACGACAGAGATGAGAGACGCAGATACAGGAACACACGTCAGATTTACTGCAGGACACAAACACGCCGGCGGAGAGAATGCAGTAAATCATGCCGTGGACTCCCTCTGAGGGGCGGGGCTTGGGTGAGGGGCGGGGCAAATGCATTCTGATTTAAAGACACTTCGATCACACAACCAACATTAAAAGTCATACACTGATCCACTGTAAATTAGATGAAACTGATGTAATGTGTCTGTGGCGTAACTGTGATAGACGCACTCAACACTCATGAACCTGTCTGTCTGACTGTAGACCCGTCTGTGGTGC